CTAGCCAGTAAATTCTCTTTTTAACTTAAGCCAGGCTGAGTTGGGGTCCTGCCATATTGTTATTTGAAGGTACAAGGATCCACAGGCATCTAGAAAGGCTGACCATAATGAGATGATGCTTAATGAGGGAAAAAGGGACATCCTGTTCCAGGGACCATGATTCTAACTGCACGGGCTCTGGAAGGGGGTGTGGAGGCCTTGGTGAGAGATGGCTGCTGAGAAAGCCAAGAAGTCCTGTGGCCGGGGAGGGTGATGAGGGCAGCAGAGCTGGCTGCGCACACCTAATGCCGACAGGGCCCCAGACGGGGTTTCCAGGTGTCCTGGTCTCCTTGGTGCATGGAGGGGCTGGGCCGCCGCCTCCAGCCCTCAGCCTCTCCCGCTTACGGCAGGGTGACGCACAGGGCTGCCGGTCCCTGTGTGTGTCCCGACATGGAGGAAGGTGGAGAGCAGGCCCTAGTGCCACCCCCAACGCAGAGACCACCGCAGCCAGTGACTGCAGGATTGGCACCGCATCTGCTCGGGGGTTCGAGGCCATCAGCTGTAAAGCACGGGATTGTGCCAGGAGGATCCAAACGCACCAAACCTGCCTTTGACGAGGGCTGGTGCTGAGGGAGACAGAAACTGTGTGGCCGACCAGCGTGTCCAGGGGGTGGGGCTTGGGAAGCACTGCAGTGGAAGAGGGTCCAGTTAGGAAAATTGTGGCAGGCCAGTGGATGACTGCCCCGGCCTCCTCTGGGGTAACATTCTCTGGCACCTGCCTGGCACTGTTGGTTGCCCCCCAGTAGCCGTTCCCAGTATTCCTTCCTAACAAAGCTGCAATTCTGTCCCAGTGGCAAGGTGGCCAGCCTCAGGGGATGAATCCAGATTGGCCAAAGCCTCCTGTGGCACCCCACTACCCTTGCCAGCGACAGGATGATGGTGCTCTTGGGTCCTGGTTCTGGCTAGCGGCCGAGGGAAGTCGGCTGAGGGAAGTCAGCCGAGAAGTGCTATGAGTCTGCCCCCTGACTCAAACAACAGAGGAAGCCTCTCCAGAAGATGGCTCTTTCTCCTCCCTACTTCCCTTCTACTTTGGCTACTCTTGAGTGAAGACATATACTTGGAGCTGCAGCAGCCATCCTGTGACCATGAAGAAAGGCCAAGAGAATGGTAAACACTGACCTGGCACTCAGTTGTGGCCAAGTCATTGAACTAACAGTATCTGCCTACTGACTTCTGGCTTTTCTGTTTACGCGAGATTATCAAATGACTGCATTGTTTAAGCATCCACACTCAGGTCTTCTGTTATTTGCCATCAAAAGCATACTTACTGACCAATACTTTCCTCTACTTTATTTTTCACTACACACATAGTTGTGACTATCGCATTAGGGAAGAGAAAGCTGATGCTCAGGAAGATGAAGAAGTTGGATGACAGAGCTAGTAAACGGTGGGACCAAAACCCCATGCGTCATCTACCCTTCTCTGCCTGCTGCTTTGAGTTCATTCAGTTTACAGATTGCCCACCTTCAGAAGAGATGCTGCAAATCCTCACAGCCAACATGGAAAAGTCCAATTCAACAATTTCAAAATACGTTTGTGAAAGGAACGCCCTGACAGTTGGCTCATTCTAAACATGCTGCCGTTATTATAAAGTTCTCTCAAATTGTCACACACACACACACACACACACACACACACACACACAAAGACACAAGAAAAAGAAAAGAGTAGAAAGAGAGCATGCCAGAAAGTAATTGGAAAGAAACTTTTTTTGTTTGGGAGGCAGGAAATGCCAGGGAAACAAATGCAGCCATGATTTACACTCCATCTCCAGTGGTGCCATGGGATTCCAAACTTGGCATCTTTATTAAAGTGGATGCCACAGGGCAGGCCTGACAAGTGACAGGCCGCCAAAGCGGCCAGAGAAGCTACGTTTGCATCTGGGTTTTACTGTAACGTAACCAGTGTCCACAGTTGACGGCAGGGAAGGAGAGCCCTGAAACCTCACCCTGAGTCTCTGGGTTTTTCTTGTTTTCAAACTGATTGATCTGGAGAACAGAAGAGCAACAGCCAACAATAAATCCATTGTAAGCTGGAAAGGGTCTCCTCTGACTACAATGAAATATTTCTTTAATCCTTGCATTAAATTTTGTACTGTACCGAGAAAGCTCTGCACTCTAAAATATAAGCTTCTGTAATGCTGTAACTACAGGTATGACTAATGGGGACCTTGATTACTCGTGCAATCTAAAGCGCTTTAAAAGCATAATATCAGAGGCTTGTTTTGCATTTATATTTTCAAATCTTACTGAAGATACTATCGTTAATGGCTCTTGCCCAGAAATCTTGCTTTTTTTATGTTCTGAAAACTGTTCCTTTTATTTTGTACCATGGAAGGGTCTTTAGTAATCACAAGTTAACAGGAATATTACTTTTTTGTTGTTTCTGCATGTATATTATCAGGCATATCAGCCAGTCTTCAAAAACTTATTCCAAAGTTCTGTTCCCAGGGGAACAAACAAGGGGTCCCATATTAACAATGGCTTTTGTTGGCTTATTTCTTTCTTTTCTGACATTAAAGTTGTGTGTGGTTGGCAAGGATTTCTCTTCTTTAATTTGGATGTAGTTTCTGCCTCCAAACGGAAAACAAGCTTGTTGGTAAAAGGACGGGCTGCAGGCCCCTCACATGCACCAGTCCCTCTGCACTGAGAACAACCTAGAACTGAAAAGCTGCCCAAGCACAGATGTTCTTTCCTTAAGAGATTTCAGTTCAACATTTACCTGTCCTTCACATCTAATAGCTCAAACAAGTATCTTCACATCTATTTAAATCCAATTATGGGCTCCCCACTATGCACCTCCCTCGGCCCCCTAATCTCAGCCGGGGCTCTCAGGGTCACCAGCCCAGCTGTGTAATTTCCCATCCAGCAACACTTGCAAGAAGAATGGCTAGCCGCAGGAACAGACTGGCGCCCTGGGAGAGAGATGCCTTTTCACAGGGGACATCCAACCAGCCAGAAGCTCAACCCCAACCACATTGATAGCATGGCACCTCTGACGCTGTGCTGGCAGGAAGGAGCGGCCCTGGCTCCTCCAAGCACATGCACCCCAGATGCCCAGTTTAGTGAGCTAGTAGTAGGATGTGCTGAGTTGCGCCCTGTGCTAATGCCAGCCTACTGAATGGTAGCTTGAATTTCAAGTGGAAACCCCAGGATTCAAAATGTCCCCTTTGCCTTTCTAATCAAGAGCAGAGAGACAGCACACTCGCGTTACTACACTACAGTCCCCAGGTAAAAGGCGTGCTGCAGGAGGGAGCAGGAGGAAGTCACTGCAGTCTCTCCCCACTGGCCTGTGTGCCCAGGACTCAGAACCCACTCTTCTCAGCAGTGGCCACTTTCCCAGGAGCCTGCTCCCTATTAGAACAGACACAGTTTGCAAGTTCCCTGTAAAAGGTTTAACCAGGATTTCTGACTCAATCAGGGCTTGTGGTTTATTTTTACTAAGTAAGGCCACAGGGAACACACTAATAGGTAGAAATTTTACTGGCCCTCCATAAATCAAGTCAACACCTGGTCTCTAGGGATTTGCCCAAAGAGAATGGGCTGTGATTTGAAACCATCACCAGGAGCTGCCAGCAGGGCTCCGGAGAGGTTGCTAACGTCTGCCCGCACTTTCAAGGAGAAAATGGGAAATCAGTTCATGAAGCAGCAATTTTGCCCAAAACCAAGCTAGAAGAGATGTAATGCTGGTTTAAGTTAAAGTGGCTAAGAAATAGGTATGGTGAACAGGTGTGGTGCAGTCTTCTCCCATTCCCCCAAACATTCCAAACTAACTCAACAATGGACACAGCTCCGGATCTTAACAGAGACGACGGTATAACGGAATCAGGAGTAACAGGCCTGGCCTCCCTCTCCCGGACCTGGAAACTGTCACTTTCCATACTACAGTTGAGGACACCCCTTCGGGCAGGAGTGTGGGATCTCGGGGAAGCGCTTCTTCCAGGAGAAAGAGGAAGGCTGAGGCCAGAGTCCACGCGCCGGTCCGCATCCTCGGGGACAGCGGCTGCTGCATAAAAGGTGGAGGTTTTGATGAATAAGATGGGTGAGGGCTTTGAGGTCTCAAATGTGGCTCCTGTTTTGAAGACCACAGCAGCAATCTTTACAGAAATGTCACAGTCTCATATGACGTTTCCAAGAACCACGAAGAAAGTCAGGATCTGCTATGTCCATACTGGCCCGGTGGCATCGCCCAGGAGGCACTGCCTGAAACCAGAATTCAGGTTTCTGGGCCAGACTGTCTTTTCTTGCCTTCACTATGCCAGGCTGATGTGGGCATCCCCCAGGTCTCGGTTGCACTGGGCGCGCGCTCAGCCTCGGCAGCCTCAGAGCACAGCATCTCCAGGCTGGAGCTGCTCCGAAACAAACTTTCCTGGGGTGGGAGCGTGGCCAGGGCAGCCTGGGCTGACCGGATCCCTCCGAGGGCCCCAGCCGGGGTCTGTCTGAGGTTTCCCTCCACCGTGGCCATCGGCCTGCTGGGGCCTCATGCCTCTCCAGGTACACCAGCGTTGGGAACGGTGACGAGACTCACCCACCAGACACTTTCCGCGCGAGCCTCGTCATCCTGGCACAGAAGAGGAGCCAGGAGCTCACCGCAAGCGGGAAACGACCGTCCCTGCGTACACACCCGCGGGGATTCACCCCCAGGTCTGTTATTTCAAAGTCCGTAGTCTTTCCTTTCCCTCTCCCTCTGCTCGTCCCCCAACGGCGCTTCTAGCTCGCTCTTCCCGCGGCCACTTGCCCTAGAAGGCGACCCTAAGGCTGGAGGGGTGACAGCAGGAACCCTCGGGGCCGGCACCGGCAGCCTCCGCCCTCCGCGCAGGCTGCCCGGATGGACTCACGCACCGAGCCCCCGGGCGACCCCTCCTCAGGGAGACCGCCCCCTGCCCGGACTCCCAGCGCACGGACACTACCCGCAACCGGACCCACTCCCTCCCAGCGGGCTCGCCCCGCCCGGCGCCTCACCTCGCGCAGCAGGCGCTCCAGGTGCGGCTCGGCCCAGGCGACCAGGGCGCTCGGCGGCCCCGCGCGCCGCAGCTGCTCCCGCTCCTCCTCGAGCGCCGCCACCCGGCCCTGCAGCGCGGCCGCCTGGGCGCCCAGCAGCAGGCAGGCGGCCGCCGAGCCGACGGAGAGCAGCAGGCACAGCGCGCTCACCGCCCAGGCCCCGGCCGCCGTCGCGGGGCGCCCGCAGCCGCCGCCGCCGCCCGCCGGGCCGTCCTTTCGCGCGTCGCCGCCGGCGCGCTCGCCCGGGCTCATGGCGCGCTGGTCGCGCGTGGGCTCTCCGAGGGGGCGGTGCAGAGCTGGGGACCAGCTGAGCGAGCGGGGACCAGGCGGGACAGCCCGAGGCACGAGTTCGGCCAGGCACGGGGCTTGGCCTCCGAGCAGCAGCGGATCGCGGCCCACGCCCCCTTCTCCGCCGCCAGCTCCTCCACAGCGGCCACTTTGGGCAGTTTCCTCTATGCAAATAGACCCTGCCAGAAAAGGAGCCGGGACCCACCCAGGGGAGGAGCGGCCCGGCCAGCCCCGCGCGCCGAGGGGGCGGGGGCGGGAAGGTAGCGTGGCTCCCCGAAGACCCCCGCGCGCGCCCGGCGGATACCGAGCGCCGCGCGCACTTCCGCCCTCACCTGCTGGGGGCGCCAGGCTGTACGCTCTCCCGCGCACGCACCTCTGCGACTCCCCAACCCGAGTTCCCATTGCGATCCCGAGGTCTGAGATGCGCCCAGAGACTCAGAACGCTTTCTGCAGCCCACCCCTGGCTGGGACATCATTCGTGCCTTGGAAAAATTCCCCTGAACTTGTGAATTAACTTTTCTGACTCTTTTAAAAAGTACGTAACTTCGAACCCCGTGGAAAAGTGAATGCGTCTTGGATGGTGCTTTAGCGCCGCTTGGTGGCCGAAGGCAGCCTCTGTGCACTCACGTTTAGAGAAGTAGTCAAGGTCGAGATTGCGCCAAGAAGATGCCTCTTGGAATCTTAATTCTTTCATTATTTGTTATATGCCAGACATGTGGTGCTGGAAACACAAATTGTAAGACCTTGTTCCTTACCTAGAGAGAGCTTTCATTTGAGAAAACTGAGACTATAATAAATGGAAAAGATGGGGGAAAATGAACCACTTTTCTTGAGCTGATGGTTGAACTCTAGTAGAAACACACCATGGCCCAAATCAATCCAGTATGCACCACATTTAGCCTATCCTGCGATTTTGTTGCAAGTTTGCATCAGAGGAGGTAGGAAAGCCTGAATGAGAATGAAGCGGCCCTAAGAGTCTTTTCGAGAAAGGGGAGAAAGCCTGGAAGTCAGGTGGGGTTCTCTGCTGGCTCACAGAGTCCTATCAGGCATATTTATATCCTACTATGGGCCCCAAGTAACTATTCCACTAATTCCTGTAATATTCAATTAAAAACAACAAACTGCTAGCTTAGATCTTTGTAATTTGGGCAACTCCACACCCATTTTTTTTTTAAGATTTTATTTCTTTTCCTTTTTCTCCCCAAAGCTCCCCAGTACATAGCTATATATTCTTCGTTGTGGGTCCTTCTAGTTATGGCCTGGGGGACGCTGCCTCAGCGTGGTTTGATGAGCAGTGCCATGTCCGCGCCCAGGATTCGAACCAATGAAACACTGGGCCACCCGCAGCGGAGCGCGCGAACTTAACGACTCGGCCACGGGGCCAGCCCCTCCACACCCGTTTTTGAGTCAAAGACCTATTACATCTGCCTTCTCTCTCACTCTTTGGGAATCTTCGGTTTATTAATTTCTATGGATTATCTCTTAAAGCTATTGAGGACCTCCAGCTGATGTGCTCCTCCCTTAGTACAGAGGGGGAAATTACCCCTGAGATTGGAATAAAACAGAACACATGTCACCTCTGCAACTTTATTATTGCGACGTTGGGTAATTCGGGGTTATGATTAGGTGGTTAGAGACAGGGCTTGGCGCTGTGCTAAGATCCAGTGTCTGCCCAATCAACAGTCTGAAAGTACTTGCTAAGCAAACTGGGTTGTCTGCTCTGAACAGAGGCTAATGCTGTATTACAATTTATCACTTCATTCTGACTACAAACACATAGGTAAATTGCCCATCACCTGTTTGTTAATGCTACTGCACTATATTCCAGAAACTTCTGTATATGGAACAAGCCAAGCCCACTGGGCCCTTAGGCCTTTGCCCTTGCTACTGTCTCACTATCTGGAATGTCCTTTCAGATCTTTGAACAGCAAGCTCCTCCTTATCCTTTAGGTCAAGCTTCCCAGGTCCTCAAAACTCACTGCCTCTGAAAGACCTTCCCAGACTGCCCAATCTAAGGTGGCTGCACCCGCAGAACCCCTCAGGATTACTCAGGGAATCAGGGCATTTATCACTGTTTGAAGTTACCCTTTTACTAACTGTAATCTCCTCTGTCTCATTCACCACTGTTTTCTCAAAGAACAGAACAGGATCTGGCACCTAGTTGGTGCTCAATAAATATTAGTAGAGTGAATCAAGGAAAGGTGAAAATGTTTACTGTCTACAACTCATTTTAAAAGGCAACGAAGAAAATACTTTATCTTGTGTCAGCTGGGGTCCTGGAAGGAATAGACGGCATCCTCAGACTGCAGTCTGAAGGAAGAGACCCTTTAGAGTGGAGTGCATAGGGGAAGCCAACAGGGGGTGCTGAAGCAGCATCCTGGGCATATCAACCGTGGGAGGCCAGTACTATCCCTAACTGGGGGGGTGGGGGGGGGGGCAGAGGGGAGAGGGAACTGCTAGGGGTACCATGTGAATGCTTGCAGCTGTAAAAAGGTCTGTTCAACAGGAGCTGTGGCCTTTGGCCAAGGGACGCCGCCTCTGCAAAACCATGGCTTGGAAGGTAGGGAGCTGGGGTATGAATAATCTCTCTCCTCCTGCTCGGCTCTCCCACTGACCAAACCCACAAAGCAAGGGAGCCCAGATGATGCAGTGCAAAGACGTCAGCCTCTTAAGGGCACACAGCAGAGTCAGCGGGGTAGAGAGCAGATCTGGAGAGGGGGAAAAAAAGACAATAGCCATCACATTACCTAACATGCATATAGCACTTACCAAGGTCAATCTAGCTACTGCTGCCTCTGAGTGGTTCACCTGTCAGCAGTAGGCACTAATCCTCAGGGAGATCAACCGGCCACTTGGTGGCAAATCAACTACTTTGGACTCTCTCCATCCTGGAAAGGCCAGCAGTTTCTCCCTCACAGAGACAGCTACCTATTCTAGGTCTGGGCTTGTCGTCTCAGTTTTCAGAGCCTCAATCAGTACCACTATCCTTCCGGACCGCACCGTCCACAGGTATGGAATCCCACACAACATAGCATCCGACCAGGGGACCCACTTTACAGCAAAGGAGATGTGGGAGTGAGCCCATGACCATGGAACCCACCGGTTGTATTACATCCTGCAATGGCCAGGAGCAGCCAACCTCACAGAACACTGGAACTGTCTTTTGAAGGCACAGGTGAAGTACCAACTCAGAGTATTCAGAGGCAATACTCTAAAAGGCTGCAGTGCCATCTTTCCGGATGTGGTACATGAAATCAGGGACCTCTATATGATGTGTGTTCCTAATAATACACAGGTCCAGGAACCACGGGGTAGAAGCAAGAGTAGCTCCACTTACCATCACTCCTCATGACCTACCGGGGGATTTTCTTCTTGCTGTCCCCACAACTCTGGGCCCTGCAACGTCCTAGTTCTCAAAGGGGTTATACTCTTGCCAGGGGACACAGCAGGGGTTCACTGAACTGCAAGCTATGGGTGCCAAACAGGGCGCTTTGAACTGTGTCCAGGGACCTAAAGTCAATGAATTACCATTTTGGCAGGGGCAATCGGTCCTCATCAGCAGGAAGAGGTAGGGCTCCTTTTACACAGCGGGGGTGGGAGGAGTATGCCAGGCACCTTGTGATACCCCTCTGCCCACTGTAACTGAACAGAAATGCGCAGCAACCCAGCCTGATGATTGACAAGGGCTCGGACTCTTCAGGCTAAAATGGGCATTGTAAAGTACTTTATAAAAAAGGTATTATCTGGGTGAGACAGGTTGATAATCACTGCAGAAGATCATACGTAATGTTGATAATGAAAAGGTTCAAATATGTTCAAAATGCTATTTAGGAAAACAAAAGTACTTAACCACTTTTTGAAATTTCCAAGAAAAATGGTTTGAATTAGGCTATCAAGCTTAAAAGGATAAGCTTCAATTACATGAGGAAAGGCAGTACGACACGGTGGAAAAGCACCAGGTCTTGACGTGTAATGCCTCGATTCCAGCCCCGGCTCCACTAAAAGCTCACAGCTACTGACTACTTCAGACCCCAGTTTGCCACTTTGTAAAATGGAGATACTGACGGGAGCTAGATTTACTCTTCTATCTGAAACAACTGAAAACTAGACAAACTATATGAAATGGCAGTTTTCAAGACATTGGACATCAGGCAATGAAGGTCAGTGACCCTTGGGAGATGGGAAACAAGTGAAGTGAGCCCAACGATTGCCTAGCTGACTCTCTGGAGATTTTTCCAGGCCACAGTGCAGGGAGGGGGACCAGGCAGAGCCACCCTGCAGTCAAGAGGGGGAGCTGCAAGTCCAAGGAAGCGAAGGCAGTTAGAATCTGCAGGGGAAGCGCCACCGAGAGTGAGCAAGCTCTTCACCTGTGATCAGCACATTCGTGAGGAAACGCACCACCCAAAAGGATGAGACTGTAATCATCAGAGGAAACAATCCCCGCAGCTCACACCAGGCCAGGGATAGCTCATCCTCCCACCAGGCGGCATGTAAAACCTGAAAATTCAGAGAGCACTGGGCAGAGTACTCAAAAAGCTTCGCCTCAGAAGTGGGGAAAAACCTGCCCTGGACTAAACACTGCTCTGGGCCTGCCTAACACAGCTTAAAACCAAACCCTGAAAAGATCAAACTGATGCAAGTAACTTAATTGTGTCCCATAATCAAGCTCAAGTATATAGGAATATAAAAATAGCCAGTATCCAACAAGGTTAAAAAAAGGTAAAATTACCAGGCATGCAAAGCAGCAAGAAAATATGACTCAGAATAGAAGAAAAAGCAATCAATCAAAACCGACCCAGAAATGGCAGAGATGATAGAATTAGCAGATGAGGATATTAAGTTATAACTATATCCCACACGTTCAAAGAACTAGGAGGAAAGATTGAACATTTTAATTAGAGACATGGAAGATTTTTTAAAAAAGAACTAAAAAAATTTCCAGGGATTAAAATGACAACGTTTGAGACAAAAAATACACTGGATAGGATTAAAGCCAGATAAGACACTGCAGAAGATTAATGAACCAAAAAACAAAGCAAAAGAAATTATCCAGAATGAGAAAAGGAAAAAAAATTTAAAAAAATGAAGAGCATCTGTGAGCTATGAGATAATTTCAAGTGAGTAACTGGAGTCCCTAGGGGAAAGCAGAAAAAAATACCTGAATAAATAATGGCTGAAAAAATTTCTGAATATGATAAAAAAAATAGAAACTCATAGAGCCAAGAATTTCAGGGAACATAAGCACAAGGACCTGAAGACAATCACACAAGGCACATTATAATCAAATTGCTTTTTAAAAGGAATGGTAAAGAAAAAACTTAAAAGCAACCAGAGAAAAAGACACATACAAGGAAGCAGCAGCTTTTTGTTGAAGGCAACGCAGTCCAGAAAATAGGGAAGCAACATCTTTTATCAACCTAGAATTCTATACCCAGCGAAAACATCTTTCAAAAAACAAAGGCTAAATAAATACTCTCAGACATACAAAAGCTGAAAGAATTCATTGCCAGCAGATCGATAACAAAAAGAAATGTGAATGGAAGTAATTCAGGCAGAAGGAAAACTATACCAGATGGAATTATGGATTTACATAAAGGATTGGAGAATGCTGAAAATGCTAACTATGTGGGTAAATATAAGGATTCTTTTCTTGTTATTTAAATCTTTTTAAAAGATAATTCATGGTTTAAAGCAAAAATAACAGTATATTGTGGGGTTTTAACATATGGCTAAGATGTCTAACAATAGTACAAAACCCAGAAGGGGAGAAATGGTAGTTTACTGTTTTAAGATTCTTTTACTATATGTGAAGTGGTATGATGTCACTTAAAGGCATACTTCGATAAGGATGTAAACTACAAACTCTAAAGCAACTGCTAAACACACGCACAAATAATTATAATAAACCACCAAAGGATATATTGTGGAATCATAAAAAAATACTCAATCCAAAATAAGGCAAAAAAAGAGGAAAACAGGAACAAATAACAAATGGGACAAACAGAAAATAGGATGGCAGATTTAAACCTAACCATATCAATAATTGCATTAAACACAAATGGTCTAAATACACGATTAAAAGGCAAAGACAGGTTAGATATTTTAAGGAAGACCCAATTATATACTTCCTACATAAAACACTTCATAGGCATAAACAAATTAAAAGAATGGAAAAAGATGTATGGAGACAATATCTAA